CCAGATTTTGATTATTTGGGTGAGATCAGTCAGATATCCATGCATTTAAAGAGATTCTAGGGATACTTTTGTAAGTACTCAAGATGCTTCCAAAGGTTCCCTTTTTCTGACACCTTATAAACGCAATGAACCAGATTCAAGAACTGCCAGCATTTTAAAACCCAAGGATCTTTTGATGTATAAGGCAGAATTATTTTTTATCTAGTCAATATTATTTTTATTTTTTAAAGCTATTCTAGATGGGAATTAATTCTGGGCAATTTTTGGAATAGGACATACAAAACACACAGTGCATAGCCACTAAACTCCGTAGCTGTTTCCTGCTTGAGTCTAAATTTCTTCACATTGATCAAGCTCAGCTGGAGTGTGCTGCTCTGAACGCCTCAGACTGAGGAAGGCCCCACCCTATTTTTGGCAAGTGTTGTATTTTTTTTCCAATTTTGTGGTTCTGTTTGTCCCCTTTAGTGGTATTCTATTCCCTCTGCCACTCAATCAGTGGATTTTCTTTTGCCTTACTTGAATCTGCTACCTGCTATTATTTCCTTCAGCCACATCTGCTTCCCCTCACCCTTTATGTCCACTGAAACTTTGTGATCTTCTGTACAAATCTTTCTATCCCCCTTCTTTGATTTGCCATTTCTGAACACTGTTTTAGATCATCTTGCTCACATCCAGCATGAAATGAGTTCTGTTGGCAGAAAGACACAGCAGCTTTATTGAATGTGCTCAGGTTGCTTGAGATTATGTGATAAAAAAGAAATTGCAGTTTCTGATAGGTAATGCTTTCAGATGTTAAGCCTGGGACAGCCATGGGTCAGAAAAGTCCTTACTAAAGGTAGATTCCCTCCTATTTATCAGTAGCCTGAAGCAACATTTTTTTAATATGCCAAATTAACCTGACTTGCTTTTACCGCAGTCTCAGTGCAATTTGGCACTGTCTTCCTTACACACACACACAAAAAAAACAAACCAAAAATAGAAGAAAGGCTTTGTTTATTTGTTTTCATTTAAAAGATAAAAAATAATCATTTTGCACAGAAAAATCCTTTATGTTATAGAATTACAGGTGGGGAAAGACAATGAACTATATCTTATTCTATTCAGTGTTTATTTTTACATTGAAAGCTGTTACTATCTCTTCCTTTGCTGGCAAAAACAGAGTAAAAATGCTTTATTAAATAAAAGTATATACTTCTAGCACAGATTTTTAAAATTACCTCTAAAAAGGAGACTTCCAGTCAATCCATCTAGGCAACTGGAAAATTGTTTGAATGCAAGCAGCTAATTGTCACAGTAATTTGCATGTGAACAGATTTAATGTAAATCTAGAAACTGTTTAGTTATGTTTTTATAAATGTTGGACATGAGGAATAAAAAAAATTCTATAGTAAATGGGGAATAAAATCAAAAGCTAAAAACTTATGGCATTTTTCTTTAGAATTCTAGAGTTAGTTATCTAATGAACTTCTGTTTTGATGAGATGTGGCACTTTAATTCTCTTTAAAAACAAAAAAAAAACCAACCTAAGCTGATCTTTTGTCACTCTTCAAGCACTAACAATTATTAGTGATAAGTTAATACTCCTATTGACATCAATAGGAGGAAGAAGTGTGAAGAAATATTAAGACTGTAGGCAAATAAATGTCTTGTATAATTACTCTATTCTTAGCATCTTGCATTGAGGTAAGTAGCTTAAGCATTTCAATGCTAATAGCTCATGTAACTTCCATCATAAAGCTTCCTTCATCTGAAGCTGTCTGAGTCTGATAATGACATTTACCCTCCCTGTTTAGTGAGGAAGAGTGGAAGCCACTTGCTGTAAAATGTCTGAGATCAGCTGGTTTCTTTTTACTCATTAAGTATAGCTCTTGCACAGATGGTTGAGAAGGTGCAGAACATTACAGTCATCCAATGTTTAATTGTTTCTATATGCCTTAGAATTTAAAGAAATTTAGCATGTATGGCAGTAGCTTTCCCTGTATAATCAGGTTGCTATGGTAAACCTATTATTCTATACAAAGAAGCAGTATGTTTAGTAAAGTGCTTATCCCTTTTCAGTAAAATGTGAGCTTCAAATTACTTTCAAATGATTGAATTTGTTTGGTATTTTATTACAATAGCTAAGAGGAGATCACAGAATAAGGTGTGGCTTCTGATATTTCAGCAGAAGATACATGCTATATAGTTAGCATGTTCAGAAGCAATAGGATTTTAATTATTTGTTAAATTATCTCCTTTGAGTGAGCCAAATTTACATAATCTAACTAAAATATCACTACTTTTGGAGGTAGACTATTTTTATAGCCAAAACAAAGCGGCAGTTATTTAGCAACACCATTAAATTAATTCCTCATGCTGATCCTGTAACTTTTGTAAAAGTAAAGGAACTAATAATTTGAGTATCAATTCCAGCAGTAGTGTAATAAACTACTGTAATTGTATTTCTGAATATTTAAAATTAAAGAAATCCTTTTCCAGAGCACTTCCTGACTGAAGTTTCTATTTTCAAGACACTTTCAATTCTGCTGACGTCTGCAATTGGATGATCTAGACCATATTTAGGTGGAATTTAGGTGAGAGCCAGGCAAAAAAAAAAAAAAAAAAAAAAAAAAAAAAAAAAAGTGAGGCACAGATTGAGAAACTAGGGCCTAAATTCCCTTTGATCTTGTATCTCTTACATGNGTTTCCCTCCATTTTTCTGTTGGTGAGACTGTTGCACATTAACTAAAATGAATAAATATTACTTGCAGCAGGGACTGAGAGGAGCCTGTTCCCATTGCAGTGCAAGGAACCAGCCACTGGACTCTGACTTATTAAATTAAGCATTACAGAAGATAATGCTTAGTTACAGAACATGCAGGATCCTTGTTACAGGACCTTCCTTTACTCATTCCTCTTGAGGATTTTCCATTCTCTAAAGACTCCTCTAGTCAAAGCAGTTTGTTTAAAATGATTTTACCATCTTCAGACATCCTTATTATAGCAAAGGCTGGCCAGGAGGCCACTGCTGAAGATTCTTCTTTTGTTTATGTCACAGTCTCCACAACAGATGGGTCCTGTTCATCAGGTGCCACTCAGCCTACGGGTTCCTGACTCTTCCTTGGGGCAGGCTGATGTGGCACTTTTGCAAAAGTGACCAGGTTTCCTAAGGTGAATGCATGAAAAGAGACAAATTAGACTCAATAAAATTCTCTGTATATTGAAGCACTAAGGATTTTTCTTTTCTAGCTTCTAATGTGGCTGTCCTTGACAAATAATTAGAACTTAAAGAATGCAGGCAAATATAATAACTTTTTTCTGTGGACAATCATATCTTAAATTTTCACATGATTACTAAATATAACTCTATTTCATGATGTGGTAGATGCACTTCCAATAAAAAGTTTCTTTCTCAAACAAGTATCCTCATACAATTGACAATGAAAGGTTTTTAAACTATGCATATAATAAAGGTATTAAGATGTTTTTACTCTAATTCTCTTTATCAGTATGTCTTTTCCAAAATTCTTGCACTTTATGTCCTTCTGGTTTGAATCCTGGTGCATAAAATGTCAGCTCAGAAGTGCAATGTACATTGAGGCTTGGGAAGATAAAGAGTATAGAAGTTATAAAATGAGCTTAGAAATTTTTTTCCAAAAGTAGAAAGATCTCTCCCTATTCCATCTTAACTAGAGTGTTTTCTTTAAAAAAAGAAAACAAAAAAAAACCTAAAAACCAAAACAAACAAAAAATAAACCCCAAAGCCCCACAAACAAATATAACAAATTAAAGTTAGAAGTTGGAAAAAGAAGTAATCATTTGCCAGTACCTTACCCTAAAGGTTTTTATTCTCCTGACACCTACAGTTAGAAAACCTTTAATGATGTTTCCATTAAAAGTCCTTTCCTGTTCAATAAAATATTTCAGCAAAATCTGGAAAGAATTAGTGCAGTGTGTTGTGAACTGTCTGGTTGCATAATGAAAAGCTGCACTTGGAGGATATTTTTTTACTTTCCAGCAATACTGTAAATTCAGGGATTGCATAGAGCAGTGACCAGGCCCAACGTGAGTTTCAGTGATGCTGTGACTAAATTAAATCAATAAGGGCAGGTTTTCTTCATCCTAGTCCATGTCTCTGGTGGCCACTTTTTACACACAATATCTCTTCCCAAGCCCATCAAATGTGTGAGTTTGGTCTATGGTTTGTGCCATGTTTAGAACGTTCTTTCATCAGCATTGCATAAAATAATTTAAAAAGATACAGAAGAAAATTCTTAGATGTTAGGGCCCACTACCTGAATTAAGTTTGTCTCAGATATGTGCAGTGGAGGACTGTCCTGGATATTAATTTTTTCTACATCTGGCCATTTAGTGCTCACTGCTCTTAGGATTCTGGAGTGAAGATCTGTGAGAGCTTGGATAAATCTCTTGTCCCTTTAAGCTCTGGGGAGCTCTTCTGTAAATAGATTGATGGAAGGGGAGACTGTGACAGAGGTTGTGCTTATTTCTTCAGATCTAGACAAGAAAAATTACAGTGATTTTGCTTAAAAAAAGCTTGACAATATTTTAAGAATTGTTTTTCTACATAAATAGAGAGTATCTTAGTTCTGTCACAGACTATTTAATTCTGATCACATTTGCCTTGGTGTTTCTGAGATATGTGCTAAATATTTTAGATTAATTATATAGGTTAATTATGCAGATAAGCATGGGCTCGCTTAGTTATGCTAAGTTCAGATATGAAAATCCTACAATGCCAGTGATTGCTTATTGTTGCTGTTTCCACTAAGATTATAACAGTGATATACTTTTTATTGGGTTGCCATGGAGGAAGAATAGGTTTTTTTTGCTATGTATTTGTTTGTTTGTATGTTTTTAATTGTGTTTATGTGATATACTTTAATCAATGCAGTGTGACTTGTAGTTTATCTTTGGGGTTAGGGTGCAGCATAAACTTGGGGTTTATTTCATTTATTTTACTTTACAGAAATCATGACTCTAGCAATTATTTATTATTACAGGGAGATGTGAATGTGGCCAGTGCACTTGTTTCCCTCCAGGAGACAACAGAGTTCATGGCAAAAACTGTGAATGTGATGATCGACAGTGTGAAAATGCAGATGGTGATGTCTGTGGGGGTATGTATTCACTTAATATCACATAACATAGCAGAATTTAACAGCATAACAGAACTAAATCTTGACAGTACATAGCTTTCTGTTCCCTTTGATTTTATAGTATAATGTCAGTATAGACTATTTATATCATTGATTGATAATAAGATGGCAGATTTTTGTTAGAAACAAGCACTAGAAGTATTGAACACGTTAGAGAATATTTAAGACTTCAGGAATGCTAACACAAATGGAAGTGCTGTAGTATATCTTAAGTTCCATCAGTATTCATTAAAGAATTCAGACACTTAAACAAAAACCTAAAACATTAGGTAACCTTACATTGTATTTAGTTGTGATGCTTTATTGAGAGTGTTGTAATAAACCTAAAGGTACTAATCACCAGCAAAACCTTTAAATATTTTGTATTCACTGACAGTGATATGCCTATTTTCTAAAAAAGTAGCAAAATATGCTATGAAAGAAGGTAAAATTCTTGAGAGACAGTGTCATATTATTTGTAGATACAGATGATTTATTTTAGTGTTGACAGTGAAAACCTTACATTGTGATATTTCAGTAAAGTATGTTGGTGTTTAGCAGTATTTCAGAGTAGTTTTGGATATGTTAGTGCATGCATACCAAATGGTATTTTATAAGCAGGCAAATAATATTTATAATTAATGGTCTCTTTCTCGTTTTTATGTGCTTTATCTTTAAAATGAGTCTCATTTTAAATACTAACAAAATTGTTGGTATGAACAATGGCATATTGTATTGTATTCCATATTTCTATGTAGGAAGAAGAATGTATTGCTTCATGATCCTCATGTATGTAAAAAATTCTGACTTCCCTGAAATAGGGAATATTTTTTCAAGGTGTCTGCCATGCAGAATATAGATATATAGAAAATTTTGGTTTCAATGTCTAACCAGCCTTATAAATAATTTACAGCATTCAGAGTAATTCAATTATATGAGTGCGTAGAAAAAAAATAGTTGAAATTTAATTTTGTGTAAAGGACATAAAAACACTCAAAAGCACTGAAAATCTGTTTCATTTTTATTATAAATTAATAGCTGGGACATAAAATTCATCATCATCCATGCTAAAAGTATGTTTGCTGTTTATATCACTTATGTTTTACATTATTACATCTCCCTCTCTTTCTTTTGGTTTTGTCTGTGCTTCTATCCAGCCTGAAATATCTTGCTGAACTGCTTGTTCTTTAATCTTTTCTTGTCCTCTTTTCATTGTTATTTTTCTACCACTATTGCTGCCTAGGCAATCAGAGTAAGGACATAAGCTCTTGCTAGTAAATCTGTCTTCAGAGTATTATAAGCTGGACTGTGTGGGGTCTGACAGTGAGCGCTGAGTGCCTGTAAGCACAAAGAAGGAAGAACAACAGATTAAATGCATGCTGAAATGAGAAATGTGAATGACAACCTAAATGATTTGAATAAGAATTGTTACTGGCCTTCTCCAGCCAGCAGAGACTGATTAATAGCTTGCTTTCCAGAGCAGCTGTCCATGCAACGATAGAAAGACATGAGGTGAAAGCTATGATAAATTAAGGTACAACTGAATGAGATCCCATGGCCATGTTTCTGCATGATTGTAGTGAGTCATTTGCTTAAAAATTCAGCTGTCCATCAATGCAGTACCAAGAATAGAGACTTAATGTCTCGACAGAGACAGAGGTTGCAGGAGGACTCGGCATAGATTTCACAGCACTCTGCTATTAGAAATTGATTCATATAATTATGGAATCACAGAACAGTTTGGGTTGAAAGGCACCTTTAAAGATCATCTAGTCCAACCACCCCTTGACATGGGGCGGGGAACCTTTCACTAAGACCAGGCTGCTCAGAGCCCCATCCAACCTGGTCTTGAAATTTTTGGAGGTGGGGAATCCACAGCTCTTGGCAACCTGTTGCAAGTCTCAACACCCTAATCATAAAAACCTCTCATCCTTATGTCCCAGCTAAACCCATTTTCTTTCAGTTTAAAACCATTACCCCTTGTTCTGTCACTACAGACCTTGGTAAAGAAATCGCTCTTGATCTTTCTTATATTCCCCCTTACAACATTGAAAGGTCACAGTAAGGTATCCCCAGAGCCTTCTCCAGACTAAACAATCTCAATGCTCTCAGCCATTTCTCATAAGAGGAATGATCCTCTGATCATTTTTGGGGATGGTCTCTGGACCTGCTCCAATGGGTTCATGTCTTTCTTGTACTAGGGACTGCAGAGCTGGACACAGTACTCCAGGTGGGGTCTCACCAGTGTGGAGTGGAAGGGGAGACTCACCTGCCTTGACCTGCTTTTCAGGTCTTTCCTGCATGTTCCTTTTTTTTGTGTCTCTGTGCATAGACTTAATATGCCAAGACTGGAGAAGGTGTCTCATGCACCTTTCAAGATAGATATGTTCTGCCTAATGGCCCTTCCCTACTGTTCAGGTGTGTCCTAAGCTTTCAGGTGGTATTTGTTTCCTTTCTGTGTCCAGTCATGTTTTACAGTGATTTCATCATTGGCTACTCCACCTCACTGGGCCTACTGTTGTCCATTACAATTTTTTTCTCTTTCAGGATTGAGGGCAGGCAAACTTGTAACAGTTAACTCATAACAAGACTCTTACATATTTCTATGGATGTACCCATTTTGTATTACATCAATATATCATTCTGTGCTTCAAATAGCGGGCCATCAACAAGAACATTAGTTTTGATAAGGCCTTTTAATGTTTGTTCATAAATATTTGCACTGTCTTTAACACTAAGAAACAACTAAGACCAGTCGTTTCAGTTAACCTGTTCTTTGTCACTTATGGTAGTGGAATACTTTAAGTCTGATTTCTTTATTTTCAAATGAGCAATTCCACTTTGATCACTTTTTAACTAATTGTTTTGGTCAGAGCACATACAAATACAATCCTCACCAAAATGCAATCCTAACGCTGTAGGGAATCTAGGTGTGTCATGCCACATCAAAGAGTAAATGCAGATTATCTTTTTTGTTTTCCTTTCACCATTAGTTATCATTAGTTTGAAATTCTGGTTATACTAAAAAGGCTTCTAGAAGCTGGAGGAGTTCACTTGGAGCGAATGCTGAGATAGTTTTTATTTTCCTCCTTACTCAGATTTGCCTTCAGACCTCTCTCTTCTCTAAGTGTAAGAAAATAGTGCAGCAAAAACTCTACTAGAGATTTTATGGGAGGGGGAGTTAGTATTTTTTTAGGAAATCCACTGGTAAATTAATTTTCACCACTCAGACACATATTTTGTTGATTTCATCTTATTGCATTCTCATGCCCAAATACAAGAATCCAAGTGTCTTCATGTATAGCTTGGTCAGGATTCCTTGTGTGCAACACAGAACATGGACAAGAGATGCCACCCATCAAGTTTTTGGTAGGTCTTTTTATTTCTTCTTGACTGACAATAGCAAACTGGTCTTTAAATACGTCTTTTATGTATTTAGTGCCCCAAAATTAGGGTGATCTTTTTGACTCACAATTTTTATTACTTTAATCTCTGTAAACTTGAGGCAAATCTGGTACCTGTTGTCTGTGCTTCCCAATTTTTGACATCCTTAATTCTTGACATTCTTTGTTTCTGACATGCTGTTCTTGTTGAGATTATGAAGAAAAGAATGACACAAGTTATTTTCTGTGTCTGCATTGACAGCTTTTGTTGTTGAGCATACACACTTCTGTCAATAAGTCATCATGACCTTCATCATATTGTTGTTTTATAAGAGTTTGATAAAACTTCTGATTTTGACAAAATAATACATTTCTTAGTGAATGGGTTGTTTATCAGTGTATATCCTGTGACTGTGTTGTCATTTATCAGTGCGGGTCATGCATTTGACCTCATTCTGGGATTTCTTCTGGTGCTTACTTACTAATTTTCATCCATGCATTATTTGCACCAGTATTAAGATTTCCAATGTTATTCTCTATGAATCACCAGAGAACAAGGGAAAATCTGGAGTTTGTAAGGTATATGTATACCTTAAGCTACAATTCCCAGCTTTCCAATGATTTAAACCTTTAAAACTGAGACAGAAACTTCCATATCACATTCTTATAGTGATGGATTCTAATATTGCACAGTCATCACCAGGATGTGCAATGGTAAATCTCCCTCTCAAAAGTCTAGTATAAGTTGCCCCTAATTGCTATGTTCCTTTGAATATAAAATTTTCATTACTATCCAGCCAAGCTAAAAAATTGGCTTCAGAGGAAGTATTGCCTTTTTTTTTTTTTTTTTTTTNAATATAAGTATTTTACAGGAAATGTAAAAGCTTTCTTTTTTATGAAAGTTCTAACTCCAGGCTGCAGAAATCATGAATGACATTTATTTTTGTCATCTGTTTAGTGAAGCAGAAGCATGATATTTTCGGGTAACGTGTTCTTTTGAGGACCAATAAGACCATAACCATAGAAATGAGAGAGCTATGATTAATTATATGCTTCATTAAGCAAAGCTAAGTATGGTACAGTTGCTGTCAGACAATTTTCTCACTTCTTGCACTAATGTTGATCCACAGAAACAGAAGTATATAAGACATTTGTGGAACTCTCTAACATATGTAAAAAATAAATTAGGAAGGGCAAATAATACCTGTCAATCTCCAAAGAAAGACAGGTTTTGTCACTGACTGGTCTGAGAATTCATAAATACAACTCCTGAGTCTACCATGGCTTCTCCAATTGTAGTTGGCACATCGTTTCAAATTCTTCAGCCACCCAAGTTAAAGCAGTTTTTATCACCTGTGATTCCCAAGACTACCCTTGCCTGACCCCAGCTTGGCTCCACAAGGACACAGGAGTGCCTGCCTGGCTGCTGCCATCATGAGGATGTCCTTGATGCCTTAGGGCATGTCCAATGCCACAGGGCATCTGAATTTAACCTCTAATTTTTCTGAGTTTCCAAACATGTTAAAATAAAAGCTTATATTCTACCCAACCACTCTTTCATCTGTTCTAACAAAAAGTGTTTAGAGGAGGGACTATATTCTTTTGATAGAGGAATCTGAAGAACATATAATTGCTGCAGAAATCAATACTATATATAGATAGTGATTATACTAGATAGATATACTCTATATATATATATATATATATATATATATAATGGCATTCTATATTCTGTATTAAATTAGTTTTATTTTCTTCTGATTTTTTTAAAATGCACTACAGATTAATATCCTGGTCACCCAGACATTTGTGTATCTGTATGAAAAGGTAACACTTTACATAGATGCACAGAGAACTTTGTTTAGCTTTTCAGATAGCATGAAATATGATTCAGGTTTGCAAAAAGCATTTTAATTTAATCTTTCTGCTCAAATAAGCAGTAAAGGAATTGCTAGTACATTAACATTTAAGTTGATTAATAGATATTAATTTTGTGACTCCAAAAGGGGCTTTTCCATCGAAATTCTTTTAGTAGGCTATAAATAGCAATTGCACTATTCCCATTCTTCCTCTACATTGAATTCTGTGCACTTTGTGTAGAAAAAGCCTGTCTCTGAGCAGGACATGCTCTCAGAATTCTTAAGACATGTGTAGCCCATGCCAGCATCACTTGAAAGTTTGTTCCAGTAGTCATCACCCTTGTTTGAAATGCTGGTTCATTTCTTACATGATTTTGTCTGTATCAAGTTTTCTCTCTTGCTTTGTCTTTTTCTGGTAGTTTGAGAATACCTGTTCTGATACCCTCTGAATTCCTCAGAGCTTTTTAGTACCCTTGCAAGTTTTACAAAAAATCTCTTCAAACATGGATATCACAGAGTTGCAGGACTTTAACACCATCTCATCAATGCTCTAATTTTGTTCCTCCTCGCTTTTCTCCAGGTAGGTAGATGTGAGAATGACATTGGCCCTTTTTGCTGCAGTGTTTCACTTGAAGGTGCTACTGAACTGCCTGACTGTTGTGTTACTCAGATTGGAGCCGCAGTCCACCTTCATTAGACTTAGACAAGACTAACTGACCTACTTTGAAAATATAATAAGACAGTCAGTATTTTAATTCATATTTATATTAGGTTTCTCCAGCTGCAGTTGTTAGAACTGTTCTGGTCTTCTGCTATACAACAAAAAATAAAAATCACTGTTCCAAGAACATTTTTAGCAGCTCGTTTAGCATATTTGGGCAGGGTAATGAAGCCTGCTCACCTGGAGATATTTCTTGCAGATATATGTGGTTTAATATTCTCTTCTGTTAATAAAACAATGGAGAGTCCTGTGATTTAGAAGAAAAAATAAAAATGGAAATCCTGTTTCTATTTAAATACAGAGACAAATATTTGTTTCATTTTTTGTGGTGTTCTATATCAGGGATCCTGTGTTATGCTGCAATTTTTCATATTCTTATTACGCTTTTAAAACTTTTTTTATTTTTCATCCATTTAAAACACATTGTATTGTATTGTATTGTATTAGTTTGAGAAACTTCTGTTCCTGAGGTGCCACATTTTGCTTGGGTCGGGCTTCAGTTTGGCCTTCAGGAGCATCATCTGTTTGTAATAGTCTGTAAATAAGAACCAGCTTCCTCTGTAATGATTACTTCATCTTTTTCATTGTGCTGGTGCTTCCCTGTAGTTGTGCCTTTTGTATTACAAAATGATCCTGAAGGTTTTTGGGGAACACTGACAACAGCTGTATGAGTAATCCTAAACTGAAATTTCCTACAGCAGCACAATTTCAATTCCAGGCATGGCAAGAAATAATTCATCATGGTGCCCAGTTTGGTTAAGGTTGATTTGGGTTATAAGAAGCCTTTGAGAGCAATCTGCTGCAGCTTGCTTTTTTGCTGAATTCATGTTTCACATTTAAATGTTGTGGTTGAGTTGCAATTCTAAGCAAAATGACGGAGTATTTGACACCATCTTTTTTGTCTTTGCCTCTCCCACATCAAAGTATTTATTATTTGAGATTAATTCTTAAAATATTTTTTTATTAAGTTTATTAACATAGCTTTTTATGAATAAGCATTTGCAATGCAATTTGTTTGTAATTTTAACTGTTTTCTGTTAGGTCTGAAATATTGATAGACCAACACTTCTCAGTATATCTGCTTAATCTGTATCGTTAGGGGTAAAGAAAAATCTCTAATTGAAGAAGTCTAGCCAAAATTAATTGCTTAACATTATGAAAAATACTGATTTAACTATTCAGATTACCCCTTTCTTCTGTGATTTGCAAAGAGGATATTCACAATTAGACCACATAAAGCAGCTGCTTTTGGGCCACCACACTCACATGAGATAGCTTAACATTAACAGGCAGTGGGCTGAACACTTGTGCACTTGCCACCTCAATGGATGAGGCATTCAAAAAGCTGCAGCTGCCTAAGCTGGTGTCAGATAGGAATAAATATTATTTTTTTTTAAATGGATTATTTGAGACAAAAGAATTCTTTATGCTTTGAGGGTTTATATGGCATAAATGAGGAGAGAAATTGTCTTTAGAGAAAAGTGCAAGTCAAATTTTATGTGGCAAACTGCAAGGTCTGTTTGCTGTAAATTTATATATTATTCATTACCTTTTTATTTGACTTGTGTAAAGTATTTACAGACATGATCAGCCTCTTCATTCAGTAACACATAATGACTACAAAAAAAAATGCTTTAAAATTATTTTCTCATTGAAATTGCCATGGATGTCATAATATTCACTGCTAAAAGAATAGAGATGTTTGTATCTTCAGAAATAATTTTCCAGCAGTGACATCTAGTTGTGTATTTTGTTCTTAGTTAGCTGAGCTAACCTGAGTTCTAATCTCTGTGTTACTAACTAAAAAAAAATAAGGCAAATAAAAATGCTCTGACAGAAGCTTAATTTTTGTTCATATAGACAACTGCATGACATTTATCTGGAAGAGGCATATGGGAAAGTATATATGCTTGTTTTCTACCTCTTGTAATTACCTCAGTTGTCATATAGTTGTTCTTGTTTTCCAGTCTGACACAAAAGTTCAAGTAGCATCAAACTTCTATCATTGCTAGTTATCAATTTTTAGAAATGGGTAGAAATACTGTCATAATTAGACTGTGTTGTCATTAACTGAGCTTTTAATATGATAAATATAATAAAAAATATAATAGGCATCAATAATATAATATGATTAAAAAACCCCAAATATCAATACAGAGTGTAGAATACAAAAAATATTTTGACTTTTTAGATGCTGGAAATTACAGCTCTAAGACTTTGGAGCCCCCACTGTTTTTGTTATTAAAATTTATAAAGTATTTTACTATCAATAAACTTGAATGAATTTCACCTTCAGCAAACTAACAGGTTTGTTTTTCCTCTGGCCTTCTACCAGTCTTTCCTCCAAGTTTACAAAATCAAGTTGCACTGGAGGCTCATGAGAAATCCACTAATCAGAAAAACAAAATTGCTGGTTTGCTTCCCTGCATCCTACAGTTTCATGCTTTTCCAGATACTCCTACTGCTTGTCCCCTTCTTCCCAGTCCATGCTCCCAAATTATCTCAGTCCTTTCATTTCTACTCCCTTGCCCTACATAGAAGATAGGATAAGACAAAAGTCGCTGGTACAAATAATTTGCTTCACAGGTAACTAATTAGCTAAGGAATTATTGTCTCTGATGCAGAAATATTATTCAAAACTGAAAAATGTAATTCTAGCTGGGAGACATTTCTTACTTCTTTGATTTCTGTTCTCCATTCCTATATTCTTGTCTATATTTGTTGGCACTTTTCCCTTCTTCCTGGCCAAATTTTCTACTCAGTTTATTATTCAACATATTTTCAATTTTTATTAACATTTTTACAAATAATTTTTAAAAATTCTATGTTATCTTTCCCCTACCTTCTTTAAAGCATGAATTATGGCTTCTATTATCTATTTCTCACCCATGTTCTAGAGTTTCTTTGACCTATCCCTCCCTTGTTTTCTGCACATCATTAGGGCACCCTTTTTAATAGAAGAAGGAGAGAACTGGAGAAGGCCATTTTGCTGGGAAGCTGTGCTGTCCACGTGTCAGTCTGTCTATCCCATAGCACACACTTCATACTGAAGAGGTCTGAAGGTGTGACTACAGTCATAGACTTCTGTGACCACAGAGACAGCTTTCATCTTGTCTTGCTCATAACCAACCTTGGTTTCATTACAGGCCATGGTATCTGCTCATGTGGCCGGTGCATTTGCCAGGATGGGTGGTTTGGGAAGTTGTGCCAGCACTCAAGGAAGTGCAACATGACGGAGGAGGAGAGCAGAAGTCTCTGCGAGTCAGCGGATGGCATATTGTGCTCCGGGAAGGGTAAGATCTGCCAGCTGAGCTCCCCTGTGCCAGTGCCTGACAGAGGAAAATAATCACGTTCTGGAAGACTAATGTGCATGGCGGGAGGTTGTTGTTCAGTAACCCTCTCTTTCAAAGGCACTCATTATTAAAAGGATGTTAAAGGATGCTCTGTAATGCACTTACATCCATTTTGTCTGACACCCACCCCAGCCGAACACATTCAGCAGTGTTGCTCTCCTATGCAATTTGTTAGTAGCATATAATTTCCTGTATGTCTTTAGCTGATGGTCTGTGTGGAACAGCTGTACATTATAAACAGTTAGTGCTCCTTCCACTTTGGGGGAAAAGGGCACTACCCACAGTAACACTCCAGTGGGGAAGATGGCAAACATAATATATTGGACAACAGTATGTGGGGGAAAGTGTTTAAAAGCAATTTGGTGCCTTTAATCCCTCTACTTCCCAAAACAGCTGTAAGAGAAAAGTAGATGTATGCAACACCCAGAATTGAATTCTACAAACTTTCTCATTTACTAATTTTCATTCAGCTGGTTGCATCAGCTTCAGTTCAGCTTTAAAAAATTACCGCAGGGAAGAATAAAAGTTAGAAAATCTTGATAATTATCTGAAATTATTCTCTGAGGTTCTTACCTTGCAGTCTTTCAGGCTAGGAAATTGCATTAATGGAAAGAGGGCTTTTTAGCTCCCACATAGTGCAAATTGCCTATTTTTGTATATAATATGTCTAAAAAAGAATAGACAAAAAAGAGACTGTTTGGAGGCTAGAATACACTCAATCCAGACTCTGTGTGTCATTTCCTATATTTGTATGTCCCTTGCATAGACAGGAAAGAAGTCTGCCAGCTGGAAAAACCAGTTAGGAACCCTCTGCATCAGGCAGATTTCCAGTTTTCCCTTTGGTAACTTTTATTTCAGTGCAGAGGAAATTTAAATGGGATTTCCAGCCCAGGCTTCATCTGTCTGTATTATCACTTACCAGAACTCTCCGTATTGCACCATTTAATTTTGTTTTGGGGCTTTTCCCCCTTCAAGGTGATGCAGTGTCATAAAAAATGAGAAAGTTGCACTGTTTCTCTATTTTTTTCCCAGATGGGACTGTCTTTAAATTAGTATATGTTAAGAGTGAGTGACTTACAGAAATGAGAAATGGAAATTACTCTTTTTTACTGCAGAAGTTAACTTTTTTCCTCTTAATGTGTGCCTCACTGAGATTTTTATATAAACCATGAAGGTGAAGGAATATGCTTGGTATCAATAAAATGCACTATGTAAGATTCTGTATAAGTATAAACATGAAAAATTATGTTGATTTTTAAAATATTCATATTATCTGCTATCTTTTGCTAAGGATGGCTGAGAGCTATTTATTCCAGCCTGTGAGACCTGGTCTTACTGTGAGACCAATTAGCTTTGAGCATGTGTTTCAAGGGTACCATTTACTTTGAGGCTTTGGAAGTAGGAATTTGTAGAGATATCAAGGATTTTTTACCTCTATTGGCTATGCTGCCAGGGTGAGGTTTGAAATATGGTCACTTCCATAATCTGTAGCAGCCTGCAATGTGCTCTAGTGCTGTCCTTTCCAAACTGACCCATTCTGTGATTCTGTGACCATAAATTCATCACAGAAATGTGGGATTTTTTTTTTTTTGTTTAAAAAAATATTGAGCAAACATTAGAGAAATCACCTCCATAAGACATTTTCAGTAGTGTGTGGCCAGTAAGCATCCAAGAAGAAGGCTACAATCTTATGCCTTTTCTCTGAGTAGGATGGGGATCACAGGCAAAGAGAGTCTTACAAATTTTGCTGCTATGGTTTTTTTTCCCCTTTATTTTCTTTTAATCTATTCTTGATGCTAAGATATGTATCTGGAAATCATGTCTTACTGGATATTCTTAGTTTAAAACGCTGGTCATAGATAGTGAAGCACTATCTAGGAACCAAAATGACAAAATTTTCTTTCTGATTCATTACAGTGAGAAAAAAAGTAATGATTACTGGTCAAATAAAAGGGATTTTTAAACCTGTGCATTAATGGTGGCTTTTCCTTTTTTGTTGGAAACCTAACCATGATATGCAAGTGCTAAAATGGAGTGAGGATAGCTTGAGTTTCTGTATGTAGGTTTTAATAGATTGTGAAGAGTCCTGGTTTTCAGCAGATAACTGCTGAACACTATCAGAATATTGCGCTCTGCTAATATAAGCAAAGTTGGCCATCCACATTCCTAGGCTGTTTTCAGAATCTTGGCAAGCTGAATGTACCACCTGTAGCAAAAGCTCTTCCCAAGGAAAACAGCAACACCCACCACGCTGCTGCCTCCCTGGAAGTACAGATAGGGCTGTACATGGTGACTGTAACGGTGCAGGATGTGGGCAAGGTAATGAGCCAAATCCCATCCGAGAGGATCTGGCTGGGATCCCAGGAAACACCCTGCAACTCATTAGACGCAATTAAACTGAGGAGCCTCCCAGAGCAGCATGCCCTGTTCAGGGAAAAGTCTTGATACATTCATTTCCATAACAGATTTTGCATTTTGGAACCTTATCTTCCTTGCTTGACTTGGTGTTAAATTTGCTGTATCTTCTGCAAAGCAGTTTTAAACATTGTGGGCATCCCTCAGTAGCAGGATCAGTGCTCGCTGATGTAGAATCACTTCAGGCTTCTTACAGTGTAATACTCTTAATAACTGCTGTAATTTCACTAAAATCCTCATACTATTACTCATTATTTTTAGATGTCAGTACCTTTCAGTTTGTATAAATAGAGTTGTTTGTTTTAAATTACCCTCAAGTATCTCATAGTGTACCTCATATAGAACAACCCTGTGATATGTCAGCTATCCTCCATTGCCTCCTTATAAAACAGCATTTTAGATCCTTGTAGGGAATATCAATATTTTCTATGCCAGTAGCCCTGTAAGCAATACTCAGAACACACAGAAAAAGTAGATGCTTAATCAAATACTTCCATCCTCAAAAATTCTAATCACTAGCTCTTCCTGAATATATTTACATGTTCCATATGTTGCAAGTTAAAGAATTTCCCTAAAATTAAGCAATGTGTTATTTTTTATGAATTTAAAATAAGCATTAAATTACATATTTAATTACAAATTAGATACTCTGCTGAGGCTGTTCTGAAGTTGTCAAGAATTAAGCTTGATTATTTATGGGAAAAGAAATGGAAAATTGGTTTATATCAACAGATGCAACTTTTTTTCTTTAAGTGTATTAGGATTGTTACTATGGATTTTTATTCAGAGGTCACTGAAAGAACTGGAAAGATGGAATAGCACGATTTTATAGGCTTTGGCTCAGGCCCTGTTGAGTAACCCATGAATTCTATTTAGGTTATATTCTCACATAACCAAGCTTCCTTCTATGTATTTTTTCTTTAATAATGCATTTAACACATTGGTGACTTTTTAATAGAATGATTCTGGAAATATTGTAGGAGGCTAGGATTTTCAAGGGAATTTAACTCATCTAAAAGCATCTTCTATCAAAGCTTCTTTGGTGAGATTTTTTTAAGCCCCTCATAGTTGAAAATTTTGCACATATTCTTTGCTATAATTTATCTGGGTTTTTGATTTTTTTTTAACACTGATTTAACATTAATCAAAAGGATTTTTGTTTAGCAGTTAGTAAGATCCCCACTTCAGTGTTTACATGTCTGAAATCTGCAAAGGGCCAGGCTGCTGAAGATGAGATCTGTAAAAGCCAAGTCTCTTCAGCCAGGTACTGGAATCATTCAGGAGGAATTATCATCTGCTTGTGGCATTTCTAGGTGCAGAAAAGCTTCTCCCACACACTTCTCAGGGTAGAGGCTTCCTGACATATGATTGTCCAGAGGTACCTGTCACTTTCCACAATTCAGAGCCTGCGGCTAAGAATGACTCGGAGCCTTCTCTTCAAGGGAGGTTTCTGGTGCCCTGTGGGTTATGGCATCACCTGAATTTGACCACACAGTCCCTGCTTTGCCTGTGAGGGTGTGGCCTGATGTCCTTGAGGAGAAGGAGAGCAACTTCTCCCAAAAAGAGGCGTTTGGGCACACTGCAGGAACGAGCCAGTGGCTGAGCTGCCATTATGTGCGCAAACTCTTTTGGACCTAGAGCAAATGTTCAGTAAGTCCATGGGAGGTGGAGAAGCTTCATTTGCAGTGATGAGGATTTTGGGTGTCTATAGATGTTAGTCTTGGGCACTGTTAAGTCTTTTGTGAACTCACTCCTAAAATCTTTAGATGAGGAGGACTATTTTCTTCCTGGATGTTGTTTTACTACCATCAGTAACAATAGGTAGGGAACAATCTGAGCTTTGCTAGTCCAACAGAAAAAAAAAAGAAAAGAAAACAAAAATAGAAGTTACTGGGAAGAGAAGCCCTGATTGTAGGTCTCTGAAACCAAAACAAAGCTTCAAAATGTGAGTCCTGATTAATTGAAATAGCGGGATCAAAGCTATTAGAAAGCTATTAGCAGTAACATCCCATCATACTCTAACTCATGCCAAAAGAATCCTTTCATTCAAAAGGCTTTTAGTTTATTATTTTCTTTTATACAACAGCCTCTTAGGCAGCAATTTTGTGCACATGCTCATGTGCGTATGTGTGCATGTGTGTGACTCGGGTTGTCATTTCCTAGTCTGAATGTGCCAGTACTCTTTGACTGTGAGTAATAATTTTTGTGATTTCAGGCTCCTGCCACTGTGGAAAGTGCATCTGTTCACCCCAGGAATGGTACATTTCGGGTGATTTCTGTGAATGCGATGACAGAGACTGTGACAAACACGATGGTCTCATTTGCACAGGTGCAGTACAGGCTAACACTTAATTGCTTCAGGAAACAGAGTTGATGGGAATTATGTTAGACAAAGCCCAGCTTCTCCTTTCCCCACTGATGGAAGAAGCACATTTGCTGGTTATTCAAACCTGCTATAATTGTTTCTTCATGCAGCGCAATGATCACCTTAAGGTCTCAAAACAACAGTTAAAAGCCTGAGTATGAATTTAAGTAAATAAGCTAGCTATGGAATCCATTAACAATTCTCTCTGTAATACACTACAAGTTACTGTTTTTTGGCAAAGAACACAATGTCAGCATTATGATCATGAGGTTTCCTTAGCCTTTGTTCTTTTACTGGACATTCCATGTGTGTAATGCATTTAAGTCGCAGACAAAATTCACTGGTGGTTTGGGAGCATAGTTGTGTAGATTAACAGAGCTTCCTAGCAATCAGACAACTGTTGGTGGGAGGCTGGAATAGCTGATAGCTTTTCTTATGATGTGAGGGTAAATGATTCAAGCAGCTTCACCTTAACATTGTCTGAATATGCAGGTGGCAGATGTTGATAGAAGTGGGCAGGCTGCCAACAAACCCTTGTGACAAGAATAGTGACAAGAAGCAGCATGGGAATTACTAAATTAACTCACTGGTTGCTTCCTGTTACAAATCTTAATTTTAGAAAATCTTTGCTGAGCAATTATTAGATGTGGAAGAACTCTGCAAGCCAATTAGAGTGAGAGTGGGAAGGCTTACACTAGTAAATTGTGTCTTCCAGCTAGACCTGTCAGCAAGGGTCATTTTCTGGAAGCAACTAGCATAGCAGGAACAAGAGCCTTATCTGTAGCTCTAATGCCTCATCATGGATCTTCATAAAGTCAGAAGGAAGAGGCGGTCTCAAACTGAGCATCCAAGGGTCATAAAAAATTTTTAAATAAAATTAATAGATGGGTCTCAGTTGTTCCATTGCTGCAAAATAGGGCCAGGACATTTTTCACTTAATAGAGAGTTTGAGATAGGATTTATTTGTCTAGCACTTCTGAGATTTTAGGTTGAAAGATTTTCATGCTCAAAGCCATAGTTTAATTGCTATTCTGTTTATAGCTTTTAATGGCTTTTTCTTTATGAATAATAGTTAATCTTGTTTTTCTTTGTACCTGGAGGCACAGTGTGAACACTTAACCTCACCAGCTGGGTACAAACACTGGTGTACACAATTGCACTTCACCATATACTGTTTCAATATTTGCAATATTGTTGATGGAATTGTTGAGAACATGCTATTAATGCCATTTAAGTATAGGTGTGGGGTGGCTTCTTATGCAATGAATGGTTCAGTAATTGCTTCCTTCCAAAGAAAAAAAGGGGACAGTGAAGGAACAGTGCATCTACTTTAGCATAGTTTTTACTTCTCATAGAACACATTTTGATGTAGTATATTTCAATTATGATAATTGCCCTTTATTCATTCTATTCTAGGTAACGGTATTTGTAGCTGTGGAAACTGTGAGTGCTGGGAAGGATGGAATGGAAATGCTTGTGAAATCTGGCTGGGGAGAGAATACCCTTAATGAAGGATGTCAAAGATTGAGGAAGTGTTTTTTGTTTGTTTTTCTTTAGGCTGCTAGGACATTTAATTTCCTAAGTGTCTGGGTGTGGGTATGCATGAACGCACACCTACATGGTTGTAAATATCTTAAAACACATTTGAGGATCTGCTCCTTAAAGAAATGCATCAGAAAACTAAACAAGGAGCACGACAGCCCAAGATCTAGAGGGTGAATTCATAAAATACTGGCCCTATGGAACTTCTCCAGAGATTTTTTGTAAATTCAGTGGAACCGATATTATACCTATAATGACTATTTCTTTGAGCAACCTGAGGCAAAGGTATAAAAAGATCCTTATTTTAACATGATTTACTTGTTTGTCATTTCTCCTTGTCAGTATGCAACAATTCACCTGTAGAAGAGTAACACTACTGGAATATTGTCAAATAATTGGTTTGATTTGTTTTATGGTATTTGAAAAATACCATATTATTTGGCCCATTTTTTCTTTCCAACAATCCTGATTATGAACCAACTCATAAATTGAAAAAAAACTGTAAAGAAGCCTATAAAAATAGTAAAAAAATTTTATTTGGTCAAATTATTGTGTAACTGAGGTCAAATCATGTGACACTTGTAGACTGAAGACCTGAAATATTTGAATGGAACATTTTCCACAGGAGAACTTTTAGTTTCTGTGGTTGATATATCAGTAAGTTGGTTATCTAATCTACATATTACAATACTTTAAAATACATAACCTATAGAAACATATGGAGTGAAACTAATAAAGATATAAAAGTACGACTGCCTATTCTGCATATGTATTCTGCAACTCACATGTACTTCTGTTGTACTGTTCTATATATCTATAGCTGCCTCCTGTAAAGCAAATGAAAATTTTTTATATTTGTAACTTTTAGGATTTTACTCTTAGAATTCACTGTTCAGGAGAGATTGCCCTGTCACACATTGAATTCACTGAATTTAACTGCTTTCATAGAAGTGGAGAACCTGAACATCAATTGACTTTAAATATCATCTGTGCTATGCAGTAGCTTGGTCTCAGCCAAAGATGTTTGGGCAATGTCAACAAAGTAATTCAAGTTTTAATACAGTAAATACAAACAAAGCAGTGGTATGAACAAAAATTTTATTTTTATTTTCCAATGGTGAAATGCTGCTCAGTGTGAAATTCACATTGAGTTATGAACGATGCACAACTATTGGGACTTCCCTAACTTATTTACATGAGTCTCTTTTTTTTTTTTTTTTTTTTTTTTGTACATGTAGATTTGGCAGCCCTTGAATTCTTTAGAGCAAAAAAAAAAAAAAAAAAAGAAATATACATTTTAGTTTCAAAAGTGTTTACATTTTGTGAAACCGTGATTGAGCAAGAAATTGATTAAATGGCTCAGAAATACTTCTTTTAGATACCAAACTTTAACATTGTGGTTTAGGTGCCGAGGTCCTGATTTTTGAAAAGGTACATGACTCAGAAATAATGGAAATGTGTATTAACAAAAAAAAAAAAATGTTTTTCCATTATTAGTCTAGAAATTACTTTTCTTTTAGAAAGGACAATTTTGAAATAGGAAAATACAATGGTACAGAACATGTAATTGAATGCAAAATTTCAAATGTATTTATTTAACTGCTTTATTATTCCTCTGTTCCATATAGCTTACTCTTTAACTACCACTTTTTTTCCTCTTAACCTGGATTCTTTCTTTCTAAAATTGAAGCTTGTGAAGCCCATGTTCTCAGGGAGTTCCATTACCTAACATCCAACTTATACATAAGCTATGCAGATAAATAACTAGACATACATCCCAAAGCTGCTAACTACTCTCTTATAGAAAACCAATTATCAGATTACCAAAGTATCAGGCAGAGTTCTAAGCTGAATTCATAACGCATGAAGAATCCTCAAAGTAAAATTCATCTTGAAATTTTAATTCATATTTTATACTTAAAACCCTAAAACTCCATGGAGCTCAACAGGAGTATTTTCTCAAGTTTTAGCATATATGCATTTTGCCAACCCTGATGTCTAGAGAGGACAAATTGTTGCTTTTATTTATATTTATGAATAATGAATACCGCTGACCTGAATCATCTCATTATCACTGTTTTTTTTGCATATACATTCATCTGCTGAATCAGAGTGTAAACAATGAAGGATACTAAGTTCTCCTTGCTTTCCTTCTGTTTGTATTTAGTATTGTATAAAGAAAATACTAGATAGTCAAAACTGTTCTGGTGTCAGTAGATGCTTTTGACATGGCATCAAAAAATTTTTTGATGCTTTTCATGGCATCAAAACATTTATATATACTGTAGATCAGCTGTGGTATTTCAGGTACTCATTTATATATAAAAGAACAACTCTTTAGGTGGTTCCAGTGTCATATTTGATGCATTTTACTTTGTCATTTCCTTTAATTTTAAATTTATATACTTAAAGAGTATAAAGTAATTTTTATTTCTACTTTGGTTTTTTTTTTTTTTTAAACCAATTAGCTCCAACTTTTTTGACTACTGGATGGGTTATGTACCTATAGCATTTCAAAAAGTGTTATCCAAGTTGTTTGTTAACTTACATATTGAAAAAAAAATCAGAATATCTAAGACAGCTACTCTCCATGGATCCTTTAAATGCAATTATCAAACAAAATGGTGCTATAACTATAAACCTTAAAGTATTAACTAAGACTACTAAAAATGTAATGAACACATTAATTATTTTGCAAATTTTTTTCTGTTTCCTATAATGTTGCTTGAACATTTCCCCTGCTCTTCATGCTGAGGTAACTGGTGATGTGACACCCAGTATATCTGTTATGTGGCTTATTTCTTCTCTAGAAAAATGAAATCAGAAGGAATAAGATTATTATTCCACATATTTGAATATAATAGCTATATTAATAAATAGTTATATTTTTCCCTTATCTCCTTCCCTGTGGTGGGAATTCCAGATAGATAAACTGTAAATGCAGGAAGAAGCATAAGGAAGTGAAACTTACTGCTTGATTTTTCATTGCTAGTGACTGTTAAAAACCTGATTCCAGGCCTGTGGCAAAAGGCAAAACCAAATTGGATAAAAGGGGACACTTCACTGATTAGATTGATAAACCTTATAAACAAAAAGATATTATAGCCTTGTTTTCTTCTGATGTGAGAAGGAACACAGTCCAGAAGCTTGCCAGTGTTTCTATAATAAACTTGCAGAATTACACCTATTGTGTTTAACATATCTGTAATATCACCTGTAAAAAAACCTGTGGATTGATTTACTTCTATAATTTATTAACCTGCTTGTCATCCATTTTTTTCCCCACTGGCTATATTCTTTGGATGCATTTACTCATGTATTTGCTGTCCCTTTCTGATATATTGCCCTTGTTTCTTTGCAGAAAGACATCCCACTTTGTAGCTAAATCATACTGGGATGAAAAAAGCTAAGTTGAATATTTCTGTGACTAATTAATTGAACAAAAAAATTATTACATCTTTAAAAATAAGTTATAGCGTTTGCATTAATCATCACAGAAAAGAAAACCCTGTTAAACATTTTAGAATGCAGTGCATGTTTATCTAAAGGGACATTTAAAAGAAAGAGAACCTTCCCATTGAAATGTAGCTGAATAATCTATTCTTTAGAGCAATAAACAGATGGATCATCATGGTACACTTTTACTGCATGGTCCAAACTGTCTGCTTTCATACCTCATTGTGTAAACTAGTTTTAAACCAAGACAAAAATTTTCCCCATAGAGATATATTGTTTCAGGTATATAGCATAGGCAAAGTGAATTGCTTTACTTTATATCTAGTGAAGGGGAGGGTCTTGGAGGAGTTTATTAAGAACCAACATTTATGAAAATGACAGTATATTACAAAATCAATTGAGAATGGCTAAAAAACCAGAAAATTAAGCAAAAGCTCTGTTATGTGAACTACAAAGCACTTAAAAGGAGCTAGAGATCTTTCAATAGGCTCTATCATGCGAGCAATCTCATAAGGATTCTTGTGTATTTATAAAATTTTTGAAGTACAGCAAAATGGTGCTTTATTGAAGTAGTTCATATCTCCTCAAAACTGGATCTCTAAAACTGTGCAGGTGTGTCTAATTTTGCCAAATAGAACCGTAGCTGAAATACAGATCAAAAATGAGAAGAAAACTACTTTATGCAGTGTTAACATATAAAATGGCAAGATGAGGTTAGATTTCAGTGTGAACAGTCTCTCAGAGATTAGAGAAGACCCAGAAGAACAAAATACAATGCAAGCATGCAAAAGACCTGGAACGCTGCAGATTCACGGACAGCTGCACATGTAAGTACAAAAACCCCAATCTGTAAATACAAATTGATTCCATCAGGTTTACTATACAGTACTTTAGTAGTAACAGACAATTGAAAACAGCTTTCACTTAACAGCAAAATTAGTTTTAGAGGGAAGTCTCATCCTGGAGAACAGCAAGAGAGGTATTATATTAAGGAGCTGAAATTTTCTTTGGCATGGTAAAGGGGGAGAACTGAGTTTGCCAACCTATTTACATAAGTTTAACCATCTTGTGGCCAGTGCAATGATGCTTTGCACAGTCTATTTCTTACATAAACTTTTTTGTTGGTTTCCAGTATGCCTTCATATAAATGTTTTATTCATAATGTTGAATCTGTGTATACAATAAATAAGAATCAACACAAAATGTACAATGCAGACAAACTCTTTGCATATATGTATGTAAATTTGTAACAGTGGCCAACAGTTCTTTGACAGACACAACCTACAACATGCAGTTAGTTCATCCTTGTACTCTTCCCATGCAACAGATGAGACAAGACAAAATTCAAGGGAGGAAACAAAGCACAAAGATATTTCTGTTATGTTTAAACAGATTGTAGGAAAAAAATTAGGACATTGATTCATTGGATTAAACGCTCATATGAATTTAGCCCACAGAAACAAAACCAGAAAACAATAATTAGAAAAAATAAAAAAAGCTGTATTTCCAATAAGTACTAACTGCTTAAATAAAATAAATCTGGCCTTAATTATAGCCTCCCAAACTGGTTCACAGATCATAGTTGCTCAGGACGAAAAGGTTAATGTTGAAAACAATGTTTATATAGGATCAGGCAATGAACCAGATCCTCCTTGCATGGCTCAGCCAGGTCTCCAGCCCTCTCTCCTCAGGCTCTTACACTGGGTGAATAAAAAGACAGATGACTGGGACATGAACTCATGTATTCCTTCCTGGTGAATCAGCTGAGAGAGAATGTAGCCTTCAGCTGTTTTATCTCACTTGAAATACTGTGATGTTCTCTTACAACTGCAGAAGGCCTGGGGCCCGGGTGGCAGTGCAGCCAAGGCTGCTGCCTCTCCTGGGTCCTGCACTGCAGAACCAGCCCTGGCTCCCATCTGAGCTGCTTTGGTTTGATTTTGTTTTCTCAGGGATGGTGCACAAATCCCACTGGACCAGATGGGATGAGAATGGCACACCGAAGTTTTTAATAAAGTGTTGTTTTCCCTGCTCACACAGATTTAGTGCTAGCAGGCAAGGACACAGTCTTAAGTCAAAGTTTCTTTGCATTTTTATCACAGTTTTAGATTAGGTTTGTGGTTTTTTTTTCTCTACATGGATAGAGGGCTCATGCTTAACTCATTCCCTCCCTAGAAAGACCCAACATTAAGCATTATCTTGCTGTTCTCATATCACACATACAAAAAGAAGTCTGACCTACAGAAAAAAGAAAAAGTTTTTCTAGAATTTAGCAGCTTTACAGTAGCCTCCTTGAAGAGTGCACTAAATGTTGCTTATAAAAACAAAACACATTTGAAAACTAGTATGAAGAGTTCATTCAGACTGAATCAGACTGTTCAGCTGAGCAGACAGGGAGTTTGAAATAATCAGCAGTCTCTGTCAAGGACTTCAGCACAAAGATGTGATAAAACAAATTGCCAGAAATACAGTGCTAAAAAAGGAACGGATGTTTTCCTCTTTTTGTCTTTAAATATCAAGGTAACAGCAAGAGGCCAAGAGAGTGTTGCCACACAGTTTTCCATACTGAGATTCAGTTTGATCTTTGCTGCCATTTTTAAGAAACAAATTCCTTCTTAAGCACACAGAGAGCACCTATATATTTCATCTTCTGAAAGCCTGTGACTAAGTGTGCAAAAACTTCAGTGGCATCTCTGTGGCATTCTCTGAATCTTTCCCCCACCTGCCTTCATCCCCCACAACACTGGCTTAATTGTTCACAAGTGACAAACTCAAAGGTTGATGTTGTTCCTGGTAATATGATCCAAGGATTCAGTTTTAAGATGTTTTTGATTTCTTCTAGGTTCATGTAGGAGAAAGTACAGTATATAGAGATCAAGGCAAGGCACCTTCAATCTAGCAATTTGGTGGGCATGGTATCCTAGGAAGCTGGGTGGAGGTACATACTGGGATATCAGTGAAATACATAGGACTGGACTTTGCATGCTTAGTTAAAAATAAAAATAAAGTTTCGTAATATGTCCAGTTTTAAAACGTCTTTTTTTTTTTTTTAAAACACCAGAAATATTAAACTATAATTTGTAACTACCCTTTGCATTGGTGCTGCAAAAAAGAACACAACAACAACCCTTGCCCATGCTTTGCTAAGTAGGTGTGGGATTCGGCCAAAAATAACAATGGCATTAAGTTCAGTTCCTTAAAAACAGGAAAGGATTATATTTGAAATGGATTTAGGTAGCACAATTCTGATTAGTCTTACTTTTTTATTCTTTTATCGGTGGTGGTTGTTTTTCAAACAATGAAGATTTAGTAGATGAAAAATGAGCCTTAATTCAGGCCTACAAGGCCTACAAAATTCTTTGGACCCACTTTTCCAAAAATTAGTGGGTCTTGCTCGCTGGGCAAGGCAAATGTTACCATTACCAGTAAGCCTGTGATATGTATAAAACACACACACAAAAAGAAACTATAGGGGGATGCCAAACACATGTTTCAGAAAACTCCCCATTGGTTGTGTTTGACGCTCTTCCCTCCATTTTAATGCCAACCTCAGAAGCACAGTATCTGTTACTAAAGAGTATTCACATTTAATCAATATTTTAAGCCAGAGACAATGATCCTATTCTTTATAGATATAATTTTTAATAGTAGATTTTTGAAGGCTTCCTGATTCCCTGATTGCTTTCAAAACTAAGCCACCGGCAACACTTAAGTTATAGAGAAACACAATCCCTGCAAAAGGTCACAAACAGTGGAGCGAGCAGCCTTATAAAAAAGGGAAGAAGAGAAATCCATAATAGCACAGGTTTACAGCATCTAACTAGAAATTACTTGATTATTTGTGTGCTACAAAATAGAACTTAAACACATGGATTTTGCTGAAACTGGACTCAAAAAGGGATTATGGGCAATTGTCAGCAGGCAAGGTATCAAGTGTACTTGTGAAGTATGTCATTCACATGAAGTGTCACAGTCACAGAAAAGATATTAAAAAGGCATTCCAATATCTGGTAGGGCATTCCATGGTCTGAGTTTAGCTGGTTCATCCAGGTGTCTTCTCGTTGTGGTGGAGCTACATGTTGAGATTTATCCACTTGCAACAACTCAGTTCAGAAACAGGAACGGGCAAGCTGGTGACTTGCCACAAGCTGATCCACAACACTGCCGAGGGGAAGTCTGGCAAGGATAAATCACTCAACTGTACTTGGGACTCAGTAAAGTCACAACACCTGCGAGGATCTGGCTATGTCGTCTTGCTCTTGTTCACTGGTTTGCCTCCATTCATTATTGCAGATGCACTTGTGCTTTTACTTGGAGTTACCCCAGCCTTTGGCACTGTTTCTCCAATATCATGCAAAGATGGTTCTCGATACATGGCAACTGAGGGGAAGGAAGAGAAAGGGAGAAGCATTTTTAGCAATGTATCACATATGAGAGTTCATCTCAAATAGGATTAATTTTCTATGTTCCTCTTGCATACCAGGGAAACTGTTTATTTTACAGACGCTGGTTTTGCACCACTGATAGAATTGCTTGACCCTCCAGAATTCTCACTTCTTCTGCATCTGACTTTAAAATGCAGTAGGAAACTGCATTCTTCCCTTGTTTAATGGATACTATAGCTTCTTGGAAATTAAAAAACTAGTGTTTTTTCTTTGCATAAGGCACACAAAATTGTCCATGTGTTTACCGATGTATATGTATATACAACCCTTAAATAAACATTAAATAAACATGTGATCATTTAGAAGTAAAATGTGTTAAGATAGATTGTAATTAAAAACGGGATTATACAATACAGTTGTCTAGACTTAAATGTCCTTTCTTAGTCATAGATTGCAAGACTAGGCTAGGATACAGTTCTACAAAGTTACACGTACATCAGTCTCCCAAATCGGAGGAATTTGGCCATGGTCTTTTCTTCAGGTGTGCCCTGAAGAAATGTTCAGGATATATGGAGAATACAAAAGTTATTTGGGGGTTATTTCCAAAAACATTTGCAGTAGCCACTGATCTCCACTGAATGTAGAAGTGCAGAAAACTCCAAATTACACTATGAACTGAATTCTTAGAGGAATTAGAAGTTTCCCCTGAGCTTCAGTCCCTATCTAACCGCTTCAAATCCTTTGAGGGAAATACATGTATTCAATAACACAGTTCAAGCATTAAGCTGCCTTAATGATTAATGCTCTTGTATAATTCAATTTCATTTTCCATGTCACTCTATCAGGTAATATTTCCACTTATACCTAACTCAGTTGCATTTATTTATATCTGAGCAATGTTAAAAGAGGTGTCACAGCAGTCAAAGGAATTAATCATCGCACTGATTTCCCAACTGGGTGTGTGCTACCACAGAGAGCACAATTCCTTCATCCCTTGGCTAATTAGAGTGGGAGGCTGGAGCATCAAAGTACTGACCTTGATCTTCGATGATGTGAAGTTTCATAATAAATGTAAAGGGCCCCATAGCATCATTAACTAATCAAATACTTATTCTAACATTTCCAGTGACACAATCTAAATCCTTTTACAGCTTCTTAAAGATGGAAATTAAATGTCTTCTCTAGAGTACATAAGGTTGGTTATAATCTGTATCTTCAGAGTGGTCCATAAATGTGTTTAGGGCACTTGACCGATTAATTAAAAGAGCTTGGTGAAATAACACTGTGACCTACAAAATTATCACATTGAACGACATGAAATGGAACTATAAAGTAAGGAATTATATAGCAGAGCTGTAATATTTGATGATTTTCATAGCAATGTAAATCAAGTAATTTCTAAGCATTGTCTAATCTAGTTTGATAAGTCTGATCATTCAAACATTTTAAAAAAGTAACTTCTTTCCTTGTACACAAAAATTTGCATTGCTTTAAAAAAATGCATTGGAGTTCCCTCCCTATAAATCTTTATATAGAAAGATCAAGAGATAAATTATTAGTATTGTTGAGAGCTTATGAAACAACTGCAAACATTCACAAGACAGGTAAAGGCATCAACCTGACTTCAAATAAACATAAGTTTATTTGATTATTTCCTTATGATAAAGTATTTGACAAACTGATCCTTCAATCAAAAATTTTAAGTTAAATATCAAAAGAAATTGGACTGCTAACCAAAGTATTACTCAGGTGTGTGTTTTCAGATAGCAAGAAATGAGGTAACTTGCAGAATATCTGAGGCTATGTGCAGCAATTAGAACAATAAGTAGTGCCATCAGGACAAGAAGCAAAAGCCAGCATAAAAATATATACATATGTATTTATATATAAATACATAAAATAACACAAAAGGTTCAAGATATTATTTGATTTTCAGAGAATGGGACATCATTTTTGGTGTTTAAGGTTACTGTGATTGTTATTTGCTCCTATCTTGGTTTAAAGGCCAATTTACATGAGTTGTGTACATTACATCACTTGGCATAATTAAACATCATGATTTATTTTATAGCGAGACCTTTGTGTTTTGTTAAAATGCTGACATTTCATCCATTCCTTTTATAACTCCCAATGTTCAATATTCATTATCTCATTCTGCCTAATGGAAGGATTATTTTCTCACTGCAAGATTCACAATAGTTTTCACAATGGAACATTTTAAAAGCAGCACAATACTATTCCACAGGAGACTACTTTTCTTGTAGAATGCCCACTTAGTCCCTGGAAAACTGTTTTTACATATGCTCTTTGTAACATCACTACACGGAGGCACAAAATGGCTCCATGAAACTTGGGGAGTGGCATTGGGATTGACCCCACATGCACATTCAGTATAGGCAATTTGGAAACCATTCCCTATTCTTGTGAGATGTACAGGAGAGTCTGCCAGAGGCGGACTGAGCCTCACCTTCCAATGGCTTGGGTAGAAAATGAGCTGCTGGTTTTGTTTTCTTCACTCTGTTTCCTTTCATGACCTGCCCTTCTTTGTTCAGCCCCAAGAACCAAGCCCTCCCGGACTCCTGTTGTCTGTAGAGCATGGATGAGTAGATTACATAATAATTTTCAAAAACAGACTCCTTGAATTTGCATTCTGGTGTAAAAAGTTCCTGTGGGAAGAAAAACAAATATTAAATGGTATCTCTAAAGTGCAGGATTTGTTTTGTTAACTTACAAATGCCTCATGATAAGTTTTATATATGATTTAAGACAAGGTTCGGCTTTAAGATCAGGAGTTCTTGTCTTTGTCTGGAAGACCTCCGGTGAACTTAGTTCACTTCCCATGCATGCCTCAGTTTACCCATCTTTGCAACAGAGATAGTATATTTTTGAAGTAGAAAGAAAGCCACACAGGCATAAAAGCACAATTAAAATACAGGCATAATTATTGTTATTATGCTTCTTTCTCTGATAGGATGACCTTATTAAGATTAAGAAAGTGTATGCAAAAGTAGTATTAGTGAGATAACAGTTGTTCTAACTGAATGCAGCAGGCTCCCTCTCATTACAACAATTAATATTCTATGGTTAAAGTGCTGCCACCAACATATTGTAATATATAACAATCCCTGTAGTCCAGGACAATACCACTACAGAGCAATACTGTTCTGATATACAAATTTCTGGACAAAGAATAATAATTTCTATTGGCATCCTCAGCATTCATTCCAAAACTAGAATTCATTTTTCAGAAGTCACATTCAGTAACAGCAGTTGTCTAAAACTCTATATAGGTTTATTTAAGCATAAACTTCTGTAGTCCAGTAGCCAAATAATTTATATTTACACATATATATATATATATATAAAACACAAGTAACTAACAAAATAACCAGTGTACATATCCATTGAGATAGAGATTACCAAAATTCTTTGAAAAAACTCAGCAAGTTAATAAGCAAATAAATATACATTTAAAATATCACAAGAAAATAGGATGCCATGTGAATGTGATTTTCCGTCTGTGGACCCATCTGCTGAAGCCTGTAGAAGAAATAAGACATAAAAGGAGGTAGATGTGGGAAAGGGGGAAGTAGCATGCTAAGATTTCAGAGCTCAAAGTCCTCAGCCCTGGAAACTCTTTATACTTCTTTTAGTTATCTTTTCCAAAAAGCAAAAAAAAATCTGGAAACTTCACATCTTTTCCTTTTTCTGTTCACACTAATTTTTTTTTCATTTCTTTTTGTTCCTGGCCCCATGCAGTACTGAGTTAAAACCCAGCAGGCAATGTATTTTCAGGGTCTCTATGCCATCCCCAGCTGCCTATATATTGTAAGAATTTCACAGCTGTTTCTGCCACAGATTTACTTTCTGGAAATTAAAGTCCTTAAAGACACAGTTCCCTATACAAAAAAATCACGGATTAAAGACTTTTCTGAATGTACACTGAATGTCACTTGGTGCTCAATCTGGTTCTTCTAATGTAGTGGGGTACATGGTATTTGTACTGCCATGGCTTAAGTTACCACCTTTAAGTAAAGCTGTCTTGATGAACACGTGGCCAAATCTTTGAGCTTCAGATTAAAGAAAAATGTATTTTATGCAGCAAGAAACTAAAAGCAGGGAACAGCTTGGAAATAATTTGTGAGCCTGCCAGAAAATAGGTTGCTTTGGCTGTGTCAGCCAGTACACTTGGTGTCTATAGGTCAGACTCTTACAGGATGCAAAAAAAATTCTGAAATGTGCAATGAGCATCTTTTTGCACTACCACTTTACCCCCTGTGTGTACAACTGCATACCAACTGCATATATCGAGATAGGTGTATATATATATATATATGCAAAAATGCAAATAGAGTTTATACGAGAGGCACCAAACACTAATGACAGGAAAACACCTTAACTGCACCATCTCCTTTGCCATGGGGCTTTTTCTCTCTCTGTTCAAAACTTTAAGACATCTGTTGTTTGTGTTACTCTCCTTTCTCCTCCACTGATTTCAAGTCACAGTAGGGCTCAAGGAGACTCAAAATAAAACCAGAAGGCAGGGAGGCATGCTAGAGGGAATGCCTGTTAAAGCCTAGCACAAGCATTTACATGCGAGTCATGTTCCTTGGCTGTTGAAACAGCAGATGCTAATCAGGAAATGCCTATGCAGCTCTCCTTATTGCCTACTTCACTGAAAATGCTACCCCCTGTGTTCCCCATGAAGTTTTACTTCCTTATAAAGCTCAATTACCATAAACACTACTTCTTAGCCAATACTCACATTTTTTGTGCTATAAACAAAAGCTGTTTGTCATTCTATGTTCTTCCGTACTAGAGCTGCTTGGCTGCCTCTAAACACTACTTGTATATTTTCCCTAACAATATCCATTATGATACTTAAACAAGGTTCTTTCAGTTCATATATCTTCCCTGAATCAAACCTGTCTTTTTCCTCTTTCATTTCTTTGGCATTGCAGTAGTGTTTCTGACAGTGCACAGTATATGAAGTGGTAGAGATTGACTTTACCAATAAAAAAAAAAAAAAAAGATTATGGCAATGCAATTACTCAGCTACTCCTGGTTGCAGACTAATAGACGGAACAAACTGGCATCGTTACTACTATGTAGTTATAAAAACATAATAATAGTCTGATTTTTTTTTTGTTGTTGTTGTTGTTGTTTAAGGAAGAGTCAAACCCAAATACTGTATTCTGCCTACTGCAGAAAACTACTGCAGCTATCCTATTTCAGATGTCTGGGTAGGGCAACAGCTTTGGACAGAGTTTGCATTCATCCAGTATATTAGGAGGCTATTCTCCCTGGGTTAAACTCTCAGTCAAAAGATCCCTTAAATATATGTTACTTTAAAACAAACTAATAGTTCCAGCAGTGTGGGGAGTATTCATTAATGAAAATTAGACACCTGATAATTATTATACTGAACTGCAGACACCAGTTCCTCTAAGAAAAGAGTTAATCAGGAGACTTCTGAAATGGCCCCTTCCCTGGGGGTCAGGTGAAATTGAATATTTCTAAGTTAAGAGTGGTGGCTAAAGTCTTGCCTCAGACACCATCTCAGCTGGCTGAAAATTGCTACTGTATTTTCTACAGTAAAGTAGCCGTAACACCTAAGGTGTTATTTTTGCATGTACATAGGTCAAATCTAGATCTGCATATCTTAGACTTAACCCAGTGAGAACTTCTAGAAAATTACAAATGTGCTAACAGCACTGACATAAAAAAAAAAAAATAAAAAAAAAATCTATGGGTGACTTTATTTAAACCTATTGTTGGGGGTAGAGGCAGTACAGAGGTGTTTTATAAAGGAAAGTGAGTAGTGAGGACACTCCCCTAGGCTACCTCCATGTCTGTATCCAACTTGAAGGAATTCAAATTTGCATCTGACTGACATGAATAATTTAGATCTTCCCTGCAAGAATGACTTTTTGGGTTTTGATCCCAGGACATTTTTTAAGAAGTGAATGAATAAATTGCAAAACCAGATATGACTTGAAAACAAGAACTTGTGCTCAGAATTTCTCTCTCAAGGTCGGAGCCCAGATTTAACCTGTAGTTTTATATAAAAAGTGGTTTTATCCTGTCAAAGCAACATTTGAGAAGTAAAGTGTATATGGGCTGCCAATTTCCAAAACCCCAGGAAAAGGTTTTGGCTGTGAAGTGCAATCTTCCTGGGTCCCAGAGAAATGAAGGATGCATTAAACTGCACTTTGCTGAGAAGAATTTTCACTTGGATATTTGTCTAGAGTCTCATCAAATTTTTGCTTGATGTGAGTCCTATTTGGAGATATTTTAATTCTAGTTGCAGTAGCATTAATTGCTAATTAAAGATTGTGAGTTCAAACTTGTGGAATCAAAAGCTCTGCCATTGCAGAGTTCTTAGTTTTGGGGGCCCCACCAGCATTGCCAAATCTTAGCATCATAGTATTCAAAATGATGGGGTTTTACCTCATGGAATCATGTGGTGGTGTCAGAATCTGCTTTCATATAAGAACAAAACACAAAAGAAATAAAATAAGAAGAGCCATTATCCACTTCTCAAATATGTGACTTTCTGAACAAAAGAGCTCAAGTTACTTGTGGTGTCAACACAAAGATATAAGGGGTTGTTGGAAAGTAATTCAGATGACAACTGAGATGAATTCCCTACCAAGTAATGTCTTCCTGTCAATCAAAAGCTGAGGTCTGACATGATGAAGCTAAGCCTCAATGCCAATCAATAATATGGCACTGTAGCAAGTGGCTATCATTCAAAATCAATTGAGTAATTGAAAATATTTGCATGGATTATCAGTGTAACTTTCCATTGCTGTGATTTCACAATTTAGTTTGTTCAAGTTAGTTAGCTTTAGAGAAGTTACACATATCCATTCTTAGTCATGACCTTTCACTCAAAATAAACCCCACAAAGCACAGCATTTTCCTATTCTAGTTCTTAGAAAGAAAAAATATGCTGTGAACCACAGAGTTACAAACCAAAACTAGCATGACAATACAACTAGCCACATAGCTTCCAGATTATTTTTTAAAAATTAAATGGACACCTGCAGTTTTAAATTATATTTCTGTTCAGTAAATCAGTAATGAACTGTCAGGACTGAACAAAACGTAACCTTTCATTGCACAAAATGAGTAATGATCTCCAATGATCAGCTGTACCAACAATAAGGGCTCCCACAAAAGTTTCCTACCTTCTTGTTCTGAACCTTTAAGCCTCTTTAGTTTTGTGTTTTATTCTGAAATAAATGAAGGAAGGGCATTAGTTACAGCTCACAGAAGTGATAAAGCTAGCATATAGCCTCTTGAATTGTAGTCAGCAGCAAACAAGGAGTTAGTGTACTCTACTGGAGATGGGCACAACAGGATTTGTTAATCTACCAGGCAGCAAAAGCACAGCTGTAGGCTGGACTAGCTGCAGTTTCTCCTCAGTGCCGTGCAGAAAACACAATTGCAATACAAACTCAAAGTGATTGCCAGGTGAGAAACAGCCAGGCTAATCAAGCACTGTAAAAAACCCTGATACTATTCATTACTTGCACCTAAAAGTGCAGGTTATGGAACAGGACCTCAGAGCTTTTTAAGTACAGGCCAAGTGGAATCTGCCTGATGCAAACACCTCATAATCCAAAACCAACACATCCAATCAATGGTATCGGCACAGTAG